CCCCCCCCCCTCCATCGGAAATCTCTAATTCACCCCACATCGGAGCCCTGAGAGAAGGTTCTTGATGGTGTATGATTCCCTCCTCATATTCCTATTGTCTGATCTATTTCTCTTTCGATTAAGCCGGTGAATATCTGATCTTCCCTAGGGTAGGTTTTGCAAACTAAACTACCGACGGGTCATGGATTGTATCTCAATAAGTTTCCTTAGCATCTCCTCCAAGCTTTTGAACCGGCTATCGATGACGGAAAATATTTTCTCTATCTTGGATTAAAGTTATCCCACTTCTTCCTCCAATTTCTTTTCCAGATAGTCTATTTTCTTGATCATTATTACTTCATGTTACTATGGCATGCTCGATCCTGAATGGTCGCTGACGTCTAGGATCACAATTAGGGCACGCCTGATCCCATGACAGTCTTTCCCACTATGCCTCGATCCATTAAGTTTCCCAAATAACTCGAATTGTGATCGCATCTCAAGGCTTCAATCACAACCCCATGTGATTCCATCATTGCTTTTCAGAATTTATAAATACACCAAATTTAAGGATATTACAGAATGATCAGGAGAAGTTAATGAAAGATAATTGATCCAAAATTTCCCATAAGCCTTAGTAATCATGAGAATAACTTGACAAATGAATTGAAGTTTTCAATGTTCAAATAAAAGATCATTTATTGTTATTAGTAATAGATAATGGAGATCACGCGCTAGTTTAAACATATTACGATCAGATGATCATATTGTTAGGTATAGCTCATATACCAGAATTTGGAATCTCTTGGAGTGAAGAGGCATGTCTCTTGGAGATAAATGGATTGGGGGAGTGAGGGTGTGTTAGAAACTTTATTTGTGAGTTTTATCTATATATATGATATGTAACTCTATGGGTATGTATTGAACTCATCTGAAATTGTGAAACCCGCGAATACTGTCGCTAATCCCTCCGGTGTCGAAGAGTTCGAACAGCGGAATTCACAAATTTGTGCAGCAGTTGCACAACAGAAATTTGTAGGAGTTGTGACAGTTGGAGTTTGGTTGAGGCGTTCAAGAGAACATAAAAGGGCTTCAGACAAGGTGTTCGCAGTAGTTCGGCCGAATTTTTTTTGTGCGAACAAGAAAATTTTGTTGCAGGATTAATTTCAAATAGCAATGTCTTCTGCAAAATTTGAGATAATGAAGTTCGATGGAACTGGGAACTTCGGATTGTGGCAAATAAGGGTGAAAGATTTGTTGGCATAAAAAAAAATTTTGAAGGCTTTGCGAGCTACGAAACTTGATAATATGGAAGATGAATATTGGAAAGAATTGCAACTACGTGCGACATGTATCATACGTTTATGTCTGACAGATGAGATTATGTATCATGGTATGAATCTGAAATCTCCAGGAGAAGTATGGAATAAATTAGAATCTCAGTTTATGTCCAAATCTCTAACAAATAAACTGTATCTGAAGCAAAGACTGTATGGGCTAAAGATGCAGGCAAACACTGATTTGACATAGCATTTGAATGTCTTCAATCAAATAATCACAAATCTGACACGGCTTGATGTAAGTATTGAGGATGGAGACCGAGCAATGATTCTGTTGTGTTTGTTGTCTTCCTCCTATGAACATCTGGTGATTACTTTTATATATGAGAAAAAAACAATCAAAATTGATGAGATTACTGCAACATTATTGGCTCAAAACCAGCAAAAGCAGAATACAGAGGAATGCTCTAATTGTAATTATTTATATGCTAAGGGTAATCAGGATTGTGGAAGGAAGGGGGAGAATGAGAGTTTTGGAATGCGAAATTCCATGTCAAAGCCTAAAGGCAGAAAGATGATTCATTGCTACAAGTGCAAGGAGTCGGGACATATGAAGAGAGATTATTCAAAGCTCGAGAAGCAGTTTGATGAGAAACATGATGTATCTTCCAAGTCCATGAATATGGTGCAGAGTGCATTACAGATTACTGTGATGGTGAAGCACTTTCAGTTACAACAACTTAGTTGAATGATGCATAGATTCTTAATTCAGAATGCTCTTATCACATAACACCTAACAGAGAATGGTTTACTTCATACAAGTTATCTGATTCTGGTTCAGTCTATTTAGGTGATGATAGATGTTATAATATTGTTGGTACTGACAAAGTCGGAATTTAGATGTATGATGACACTGTCAGAATATTACGTGATGTAATTCATATTCCAGATTTGAAGAAGAAGTTAATTTCCTTGGGCATTTTACACAGAAATTGTTTTATACTTAAGGCAGATGAGAATAGAGAAACCATCAGAATTGTTAAAGATACACTGACTGTGATGAAAGGAAAAATCACTGCAGGTAATACCTATAAACTGTTGGGGAGTGCAGTTGTAAGTGAAGTTCATTCTGTTGAATCATATGATGAAATTGCAGCAGATATGTTGACCAAGTCAGATATTATCAATAAATTCTTGCATTGCTCGAACTTGTTGAATGTTTGTAATTGTTAGACGACATGATTGTCCAACACACTTCGGTGTAAGAAACTACATGATGTATTTCTCCTAACAGGCTGAATATTCGCCAAGGTGGAGATTTGTTAGGTATAGCTCATATACCAAATTTGGAGTCTATTTGAGTGAAGATGTGTGTCTCTTACCAAATTTGGAGTCTATTTGAGTGAAGATGTGTGTCTCTTGGAGATAAGTGGGTTGGGGGAGCGAGGGCGTGTTAGTAATTTTATTAATGGATTATATATATATATATATATATATATGACGTAACTCTATGGGTATGTATTTGACTCCTCTGAAATAGTAAAATTTGTTGCTCTGCTCCCGATGAAGCAGACATCTTTGCCGAATCTCGTCAAATCTCTGTGTTCTACTGGTTTTGTGTCGATTTCTGTTTTTCTGCGCCCTAATTTCTCAACACCTATGCTTGTACCGACCACTTCAGGTTGCCCTGAATGAGGCTAGTACAAGAGGCCAACAACAACTATCAGTCTATCACCAATGATATGCTAGTTAGGTGATTTGAATACTAGTACAAGAGGCCAACAACAACTATCACTAGGGCTGTCAATTTGGCTCGTTGTTCGTGTATACCATAATGAGCACAATGGTGGTTTGACAAACATGTCAACCAGAATAATTTCAAAAATATTTATCACCATAGAAAGGACAAATGGTATGTTTGGTTCAATATTATTTCAATAATATTATTATTTAGATAAAAATATCAAATAACAATGTTATCCTCCAAATATAATGTGTCTGGTTTAATATCATCCTACTCACAAAAATAAAATGCAATTTACAAAAATTAATAGTAGTTAAAATCATTATTTTTTCTTCCTTATTAAAACCATTGAGATTGGGTAATATTTACAGCATCCACTTTGGCCACTACTAAAATTACCACAACCTTAACAACAAATATTGTGCAAAATATTTCAATGTAAGAGATAAAATCAAACCAAATACTTTTTACCATAGATAACATAACAAAGATCGCAAAAAGCATTGAAACAAACAAATCCCAAGTAAAAATAGGTAAGAATGTCCCACCATTATTTCACATATTAATTCCTCTCCCAAATAAAAGTGTTTTAACATGAACATTTCACAAAACAATAGAGTGTCAAATGTGTAATGGCTCTGAGAAGTTATGTGATCCCATAATGGATAGCACAATAACAAAACCAACATGAATAACAACTTGCAATACCCTCAAATTTGGCACTCAAGACTAAACCTCTGCTTAATATCAAAAGAAGAGGTGCATGCTAATTTAATTGGAAAATTTCGATTCAGTCAATTCAAATCATTTAGGGCTTGATTCGAGCAATTTTCTAATCATAAGCTCAATGTGGTGCATCAAATCTATTGCAAGGACTAGCACAATATTCTAGCTTGTTGGACCTTGATTCAATTGAACTAAATAATCAAATACTAGTTCAATTCTTTCAAATTGCCTAAAGAAGCATAGTCTACGCCAAAATTAATGCTTGGTCAAGAGCAGATTATCACAATCCAAACCATTCTATGTATTGATTTCCCAACAAATATTTTGAAGAAATGTATGTCATGCACTGAAGCCCAAAATACAGGAATGACTCAAGGTGATAAAAAGCATAGTAATCATCAACAACAACTGCGCCAATCTCATGGCTATTGAATCACACAGCCGCACGATATGACAAAAAAGCCAAGCAATCAACAACAGTAAAAGCTACTTGCTTCGACCATAATCACGATCAGAGAAGATGCGGGTTTTCTGAATTGGAGGATTTGCTAATGTAGAAAAGAGATGCTTATGATCTCATCAAACCGTTTCATACAGCAACAATCAGCATAAAGAGAATCAAAGAGCTCATAATAGGGAAAACAAGACAATAATTAATATCGATCTTATGCTGAAATCAAATTATCCCGTCAACGATACAAGATCTATAAAGAAAAAAAACTAGCTTCAAACATTGAAGAACCTTCATCCAAGTCTGTACCAGTGAATACCTAGGTTGCACCGACGATGATGTTGTTGATCGGTATGAATATAAGCTTAACAAAGAAGCCGACAAATCCCATCACCACAAATCCAATCGCAGTCCGCACAGCTACCTTAGTGAATTCTGCATTCCAGATCCATCAACTTCCATAAAAATAGATCAAATTAAGCGGAAAATAGTAGCGAAGGAACGAATGGATGCGCGGCTCCGGTAACAAAAACTACAACTCATGCAAGAAGGCTTGATCGGAGCTCACCTTTCCGGTCCGGTTTATGGCATCGCTTGACGAGTCGGACGCTGTCCTTCGCGAATTCCCGGAGGGGATCGACCACCGAATCTAGGGCATCCATGTTGAGCAGAAGCTGAAAGATCTCAAAAGATCTTACGTTTCGTTGGTAAACAGCTAAAGACTTCGAACGTTACGCCGGATCCGCATTTTATAGGCGCCCCAGATTTTCGGATATGTAAAAATGAATATGGTGAAAAACCAGTTTTATATATGTTTTTAAAAAAAAATTTTATTATTGATGTTTTTAACGTCCATCATGCTTTTATATATTTAGTTCTCAAAATTAAGTTATAAATATTAAAATATCTATAAATATATATATCAAATACACATCCTCAAACGAAAAAAAATATATATATGATATTGTGACAAAATTTTAATTTTAATGTTCATATATTTATTTAAGAATTTAATAGTAAAAAAACTTAATTAAATTTCTACTAATATATTTTTAAAATTTGAGTCAATGATGTTTATACTCGTTTTGTTTAGAATTAATAATATTTAGCGTTTGGGATTGTTGCAGTTTTTTGTAGATGTTGTTGTAAAACTTTTGTGAGGAAAATAACTTTTTAGAAAATTAATGTGAAAATTATGATTTTTTCATTTAAAAAAGTATATAGTAACTTAATCACTTCAACTAATTTAGTTGCCAAAATTACCTTTTCGTTGTATAAATTTTATAAATGCAGTAAAAATGCAGTTCCTCAATTTGAGTTATGATAGCAAACTATAATACAACATTTCAAGAAAACTGTCAAAAATAGACTTTTAGAGTCTGTTTGGGACAGTTGTTGCTTATCAGCTTATCAGTCGTAATTTAACTATCACAGGAAGCTACTACTGAGAAGCTGACTAGTTGTTTGTTTTAGCTGTTTAAAAACAATTGTGTGGCAGCAGCTTTTGGACAAATCATCATTTTGTCAATGTTTAGTAATGTTGTTCATAATAGAATTGTTAAAATTACAATTAATATAATAATGATCTTTCTCCCAATAATTTCTCATTATATGCCCCATAGGGTATCGATAATTATTCACGATATATTTTCGCAGTAATTATATGAGGTTGTCTATTTCAATGAATCACTTCATAGATTATGTGTGTGATTGAAAAATATGTTTTTCTTGTCCTAAGAGTGTCCTGAATATTATTAGTCTTGAATTCAGTAACAAAGGATGAAATTATACATATGCTTCTTAACAACGAGCATAAACATGATGGCAAATATGATATGTTGCCCTTTCTCCCAATATTTCCTCATTATATGCCCCAAGAGGTATCAGTAACTATGCATGATATACTTTCACGGTTAAATTTTATAGTTATCTATTTCCCTACCTCAATTTAGAGAGTGTGTATGATTGAAAAATATGTTTTTCTTGTCATAAGAATGTTCAAGTGGTATCACTACTGAATTTCAGTAACAAAACATGAAATTTCATGTATGTTTCCTAACAATGAGCATAAAAATGATGGCAAAAATGATATGTTGTCTTTTCTTAGAATAATTTCTCACTATATGCCCAAGGGGTATCAGTAGCTATGCATGATATGCTTTCACAGTAATTGTTTGAGGCTATCGATTTCCCTACCTCGCTTCAGAATGTGTGTGGTTGAAAAATATGTTTTTCTTGTCCTAAGAGCGCTTAAAGTGGTATTAGTTCTGAATTTCAGTAATAAAGCATGAAATTCTACATATGTTTCTTAGCAGTGAGCATAAACGTGATGGCAAAGATGATACGCTAACATTTCTACCAATATTTTCTCATTATATGCTCCAAAAGGCATCAGTACCTATGTTTTATATGGTTTCACAGTCATATTTTGAGGCTATCTATTTCCCTGCCTCACTTCAGAGTGTGTATGTGATTAAAAAATATGTTTTCTTGTCAAAAGAATGCTCCAAGTGATATTCCTACTGAATTTCAGTAACAAAGTATGAAATTCTACATATTTTTCCTAGCAGTGAGAATAAAAATGACGACAAAGATGATACATTGTCCTTTCTTACTATAATTTCTCATTATATGTCTAAGGGATATCAGTAGCTACATGATATGCTTTCACAATAATTGTCTAAGACTATATGTTTTTTTGCCTCACTTCAAAGTGTGTGTGATTAAAAAACATGTTTTTTCTAGTCATAAGAATGCTTAAATTGGTATTACTACTGGATTTCATTAAAAAACATGAAATTCTACATATGTTTTCTAGCAACGTGCATAAAAATGATGGAAAAGATGAAATGTTACCATTTTTCTCGATAATTTCTTATTATTTGCCCCATAAGGTATCAGTAATTGTTTGAGGCTATCTATTTCACTTCCTCACTTCATAGATTGTGTGTGTGATTGAAAAATATGCTTTTGTAAGCATAAGTTTTGCAAAACACGAGCACGAAAGAAGAAAATTACAGAAAAATCCACAACATCAAACTAGAGCACCATCACCAGATAGAAGCAACAAACCAAAAAAACACAGCCAAATCCATGAGAAATGAAAATGTCTCAAAAAAATATAGGGAGAGGGGATACCGGAAGGAGATGGTGTCCGACAAGATGAGTTAGGGCGGGGGAAGCTAAAGCTCAGCGAGAAAAGAAAGTGCAGAAGACAAACACGCAGTCAGAACGAGCGACACCAGGTAAAAAATACAAGAATAAACATGGGTCGCAGGATCAACCCTGCGGCCTGTGTTTTGCTAAACAGTGTGGCCGTCGTGATCCAAATTGCGCCCCAAACGACAGAAATGCACGACAGCCCACCACACAACGCAAAAAACAATGTTAAAACTTTTTTTATTTATTAAATTAAATTCAATCAACTAGAAAATAAAAACACAACTAAAATATGCATTGAATCATAAAAAAAACTTATTTGAGTTATAATTAGAGAAAGTTTACTGTATATGGCCCATAATTCTTATCATTAATCTAATAAGCACTTTGCATATATTCTCATATAAATATGTTTGAAAGTTCATTTTAGGCCAAAATGATATTATTTTTATTATGGAATATTTATTTGAAATTAGAAGTGACTGGACTTTATTTGAACTAATTCATAATCAAAACTCAATATGGATCTAATTCGTACATACTTGAACATTGTTTAGGTAAGGTTAAACTTAGTTATCAAGTACAACTAATGAATTGTGATGATCTTTAATGAATTTAACTTAGGGTTTGTTTCTAAGCAGTTGTAGTTTATTTAAAAGCTGTTGCATAACAGTTGTAATAGAAAGTTGTTGCGTAGAAGCATTTACGAAGAAACTGGATGTTTGTTTGTTTTTTTTAGTTTTAAAACATTTGTGTTACAGTTTTTTCTGAATAAATGACATTTACGTCACTGTACTATTGTGTTGTTTATAATAGAATTGATCTTGTCATTACATTCCATACATGAAAGCCAATTTTTAATTATAACATTACAAAAAAAATAGACACCTCATTAAACAGTGAGTAACACGATAATCAAAACTTAAAAATAAACTATTAAAACAATAATTAATAATATAATAATTTTATTTTTGAAATGTAGTTGGTGTGTGTCACAAGATAAGTCGCCATCTACGAAAACTCTACGCGTATGATCACTCTCGGCGGTGAAATCCTCCAACTCATCCACCCATCTAATGAAGTCACAGTTGTTTGTTCTTCCAGTTTTTTGTTATTCTCCCTAGACACTTATAAAATTATCTCCCGCAGTTATGTGGTTGTGCAAAGTAGGTAGGGAACATTGTAGTCCAGAATAGTAGACTAGGAGTACAATGCTCTGGATGTACCTGAAATCCTGGAGCTAATCTTTCCCGAATACTCAGAAACACAAAGCAAATGCCCATAGATGTGACGTTAACAAAAATTAATAATCGAAGTAATCAATTAAAGTTCTATGAAGTTGCGAGGTCTCTGAGAACTCAGTATATAAACTAATGAATCTATCACTAAAAAAAGGTTCTTTGTTGCGTTTGGCCCACATAATATTGAGCATGTGTGTGTTGGACGTGTATATCACCAAAAAATGTCGTTTAGAAGAACCTTAAAACATAGCACTGAAAAAGGAGAGAAACTATATTGTCTTCATTTGGGATTTCAGATACGACAAGAACCACTAACAATATATAGGTGATCCAGAAGAACCTTTAAGCTCGAATGTCTCATCATAGATCTCCAAAACCAACAAAAAAATACAATATTTAGCATGATTGTCTCGTTTGTGATAATATGTAGAGGGTTATTGTTAACACATTTCGTGAAGTCATTCTAGATGAGTCATGAAGTTTATGATTCCTATATAGTTCCTCTAAGAGATTGATGAATGTGGATTGTGTCATACAGAACATATTATTGCATACTATTGAATGATTTCTAAGCAACTTCCCAACCCACTTGTCATCAATATATGAAGATGTCATGTAAGGAGAGTGTGTTATATTTGAGTTATAATACTCATAGATTAAATACACTGCAGTTTCAACTCTTTCTATGTTTTTATATATTTGCATCAATGTATCTTACACATAAGAATCACTGATTTAACTAAAATCGTATAATTATACAAACAAACAACACATGTAGATAAAATTGGAGAAATAAGTACAAAACATAACGATGAAAATTAAATATGCAAATAAGCATTAACAATGTCTCAATGAAAAAATAAAAATTCAAAGCAGCATAAACAGTGGCACATCAAAAAGAAAATATAAAATGCTCAACTAGAATAAAATGAAACTCAAGTGTCCCTCAAGTTTCACTGTTCACGTGAAAATAATGTAAATAATGCACCGTAAGGTCAGGGGTTCTCGCATAAAAAAATATCTTTGGAATGCGTTTTTAAGCAACTTCATCGAGAACAAATACGATGACACGCCCTCATAAATTTATGGAGTTGTCTCCATAATTTACATAACCTGCTTTGTGGATTTTGCTTGTGATGAGCTAGTGTCACTAGTGCATGAAACCAAAAACTATGAAATTCGGCTTCAAATAAAAGAAACATCTTCTTTTTTCTTTTTCTCAACCTTAGGATGCTTTGATCAACTGGTGGATTAAACTTCATTGAAGTTCAGGTTAGGGCCTTCATTGGAATCATTTGTTTGTTTAACATCCAAGTTTTCAACAATGCCACCAAACCCTACATCACTAGGGGC